ACAACCCAATCTGGTTCAAATCCTGCCACACCACTTAATATTTATATTTGTGTGACCTTTGGCAGGGCACTTACCCTCAGTTTCTTCCTTTGTAAAATGGGTGCAGGAAGATTAGACCAGTGGTTCTCGATTATTAAGGACCCCAAAGAGTTTTTGTTTATGTGGGTTATATATATTCATATTTACCATGTTAGGAATGCAAACTAATACTTTTAAAAATATGTATTTATTCAGTCATTAAAATAACAGTAATAAATTCATCATATATTAACATAACTCACATTTTTGTGAAAGATAATTATATTTTCAAAAAAAATTAGTGAGAAGTGCAGCATCGTTGTACATATTTTTTTAAAAAATCTCTTTAATGTCTGCTTCTGCCTTCAGTCTGTGGTGCTACATTATTTTGGTTGAAGTGTATGAAGAAAATCTGACCTCACATAGATATGTAGTTGGAAAAGAGAAGAGGATTTAGTAACATCTCAATATCGTTGTGAAATTAATTTTGACTTCCTCTGCCCCCTGAAAGGGTTTAGGGGGCCCCCGGAGGTCTGCAGAACGCACTTTGAGACCTGTTAGACTCGATGGCCTCAGAGGTCCCTTCCAGCGGTAGAGTGAGCATCTTGTATGTGACCTTGGGCAGATCATTTCCCTCTCTGGGCCTCAGTTTCTTCCTCTGTAAAATGAGGGGGTTGAACCAGATGGCCTCAGAGGGCCTTTCCAGCTCTAAATTTAGGGTCCTATATGGGACCTGGGCAGGTCCCTTCCTGGGTCCTCTGTGCAGTGACGGATTTGTACTGGTTGATCTCCAGCTGGAGATCAAAGATCTGTCACGACTATGTCACACATGGAAAGGAGTTTACAATTCTAGATCTTATCCTAGGAGCCACAAACTTGGAATATGTGTGTATATACACACATATACACACACATCACACACACATATACATATATGTATACATGTATTTGATAATAATTCATTCCTTTTGTAATACTATTTATTTAATGCATTTAAATACATTATTCTAAAGCGGGGTCCACAGGCTTCCTTAGACTGCCTGAGGGGTCCCAGACACAAAAAGAGGTTTATGATTAGTTCCACCTGCTCATTTTCCATAAAAGGGAGAACTCGAGGGGGAAGTAAGTTCATCAAGGCCACCCAGAGAATGACACATTCATTCTGAGAATCTGTTTGCTCTGTCCGGCCACGTTTCCACCTATCTGTGTGAGGAAAGCGGTCCCTCAGCTGACACAGTGGCCCTGGGATCGCCTCCAGAAATAGCAAACACTTTCCCCCTGCCCTTCAGCAAGTTTGGTCTGAACATTCCTCCACTGGAAGCTGCAATCTTATCGCTCTGAATAAGTGCCTGTCATTCTCCTTTATTGTTGTTGTTGAATCATTTTTCAGGACTATTAGACTGTCCAAGATCCCATTTGGGATTTTCTTGGCAGAGATACTGGAGTGTTTTGCCTTTTCCTTCTCCAGCTCATTTTACAGATGAGGAAACTGAGGCAAACAGGGTTAAATGACTTGCCCAGGGTCACGCAGCTAGTAACTGTCTGAGGCTGGATTTGAACTGGGGTCCTCCTGCCTCCAGGGCAAATGTTCAACCCATTGTGTCACCTAGCTGTCCATCATTCTCCTAGTCCTGTGTACATGGTCCTGCACAGCATTTCTTCAGCTGCTCTTACTTTATGGAGAGGACAAATTGTCTTTCCTCCCCAAGATTAGGAAAAGAGTTAAAGTTATTTCCAAAGGGACTAAGACAGGGTAATTAGGTTCTCCATTCTGTTCATCTGTAAATGCTTACCTGTGGCATGAAGGCGACTCCGGGTTCTTGAAGGCTGTGCAAATGGACCAGGCAGCTTTGGGCCCACTAGGGGTGGATGGTTTGGGGCCCACCAGAGGATAGACAGTTTGGAAGTTATAGGGGGTAGATGTCTTGGGGCCCACCAGGAGGTAGACAGTTTGGGGCTCACTGGGGATAGGTGGCTTGGAGGCCACAGTTTGGAAGTTATGAGGGGGTAGACAATTTGGGGCCCACCAGGGGATAGATGGTTTGGGGGCCACAGTTTGGAAGTTATGGGGGGTAGACGGCTTGGGGCCCACTGGGGGTAGGGTGAGGCCATTGCACCCCCAAAAAAACCATGGGTAGGGTGATTTGGCCTGTCCAGTAACATTTTGCTTTAGATTTAACATCATGATGGTGATGGTGATGGTGGTGGTGATGGTGATGGTGATGGTGGTGGTGGTGGTGGTGGTGGTGGTGGTGGTGGTGGTGTGGTGGTGGTGGTGGTGGTGGTGGTGATGGTGATGGTGGTGGTGATGGTGATGGTGATAATGACAACATCTAGGCTAATATTTGAGGGGAAGAGAGGGACTTGTCCAGTCACTTGGCACGTTAGTGAAATAACTGGAATTTGTGCTGAGACCTCAAGCTTCTCTACTGCAGAGGCTCCAAAATGTGTATCTACTGCGATGTCCCAGAGGCTCTTTTGACATTGGTCAGCCCAGGCTCTGCGACCCAGGCAGAGAAAGTGACTTAGAGCTGAGAGACTTTGCTGCTATCTGCTCCCCACCCTGAGCCCTCCCAGGCTGCAGCCCTATGTCCCCACCAGGAAATCAACCCTGACTTACCTCTGTGGCACATGGGATATCTTCATTGGCCTGGGTTTATCCCTTGCTAAAGGGAGTAGGGAGGCAGAGCAGTAGACAGAAAAAGTCCCAAACTTGGAATCTGAGGAGCTGGACCCAAATCATGACTCTGACATGTCTTAGCTTAGACTAGAGTGCAGTCAAATCACTTAACCTTTCCGTCCCTCTCTAAAATAAGGACATAAAACTTGCTCTTTCTCTGTACTATAGCTGGTGAGAGGAAAGTCCTTGGCAAATCTTAAAGTGCCAGAGAACCGGTGAATCTGAGTGTTTGTTTCTGGGGGCCCCTGTACCTGGGATTGCCTTCCTCCCTTCTCCAGCTCTCCAACCCCACTCCAGTGCCAAATGATGCCCACAAGAAGCTGCTCCTCACTAAAGGCCTCTGGGGTTACATTTGCTCTATCCATTTGAGCCTTTGTCTGAGAACCCCATGAGGACAGAAAGTGGATATTCTTTAACCTTTGAGTCTCCCCCACAAAACTCACTGAGCACCATATAGGGCGCTTGCTAGGCCTAGGTGGCGGAAGTAGGGGGGAGGGTGCCTTGTTTAGTCAAGGCGAGTCCTTGGTCTTCAAAGACCTCACCGTTTACTAGAGAAATAAAACACATAGTTTTCTGTGATGTCCAAGGTGAAATGCCATCACTGATGGGGACACGATATATGGAAGGAAGTAACATTGGAGCTGAACTTTGCAAGAGTAATGAGATGGCCTGAACCAAAGAACAGCCATTCTTCATGGCTCAATGTCAGCCCTGCAGAAGGCCTTCAGCAGAGGCCAATGGTGGCATCTTTTGTAGCTTGGCCCTGTGCTGGGAGGGAGGGCTAACAGGCTGGATGGCTGCAGAGCCCTCTGCCTATCTGGAAAGGTCCTGACAGGCTGGAGCACTGGGCTAAGTGCTGAGAAGATGCAATTCAGTAGGGTTCCAGAAATCAATGTCACAAATGCAAGATGGTGAGGCATGGCTAGATGGCAGTTTGTCTGAAAACGATCTGGGGCTTTAGTGGGCTTATGAACCAGCAGTGTTACATGGTAGACAAAAGAGCCCATTAAACATCGGGCTGTGTTAGGAAAGGCCCCAGAAGAAGGTGAGAAGTACTCCTAAACTCTGCACATCTAAAGTCTTGTGTTCAGTTGTAGGCAGCCCAGTTTAATAAAGGATCTCATACTGGCAGGAAGGCAGAGGATGAAGGGCCTTGGGTCCACGTCCTGAGAAGGCTGGTTAAAAGAATTGTCGATGCTCATTAACTATTGACCAATCAGAGTTGATTGCCATCTGCTGGAACACTTCTGTCCAAGGGCATATAAACCTCAAGAAGTGGTCTTCCTTTTTGATCATCAGGAGGATGAGGAACCCTTTTTGTCAATCATTTGCTGGCTGTGAATGATAAAATTGAGTATAATTTACCAAAAAAAAAAAAAAGAGTTGTCGATGTTCAGCTTGGACAAAAGATTCAGTGGGCATATAGGTCGGACTAGATAACCCGAAGAGGTCCCTTCTAACTTTCAATTTTGGTGATTCTTCAGACAGCAGAAAATGAATGGTGAGCAGTGAAGGAGAGAAGGAAACAGCTTTTTCAAAAAATTTAGTTGTGAATATAGAATTAGGTTTAACCTGATTGTACATTTATGACACCTATCAGATTGCTTGATGTGCTAGGGAGGGAGTGGGGAGAGAGGGAGAAAAATTCAGAACTCAAAATCTTATAAAAATAAATGTTGAAAACTATCTTTACATGTAATTGGAAAAATAAAATACTATTTACAAAAAAAGAAAGAAAGAAAAAAATTTAGTTGTGAAAGGGAAGAGAGATATGGACCAGGAGCTGGGTTTAAGCTTTTTGGAGCTTTCTAGCAGGGGGAGGCTGAGGCTTTTTTAGACTTGGGGAGACCTGAAATTACTTGTAGGCAGATGGGAAGGTGCTGGCAAGGAGGAAGAGATTGAATGCACAAGGGACAGGAAATAGTTGCTGGAGTAAGGCCTTAGAGGAAGGAGGAGAGGAAAGGGGTAATGTGGATGAAGGGATTAGTCCAGGTCAGAAACAGATATACATATTTCTTCAACCCAAGGGAAAGAGAAGACAGGAGAGTCCTGCTAAGAAGGTGTGAGGAATGAAGGGTCATGGAAGGGCAAAGCATCTCAGCCACTTTCAGTTGTCTCAGGGAAGTGGGAAGTGGGCTCATCTCTTGTATGCATGAAGTTACATGGCATCAATGTGAAGTGATGTGAGTGAAATTAGCGAGTTTGAAAGAATAAATGAATGGGCAGCTCGAGCTAAGCCCACCTGACCAGGTGCTCCTACCTAGCTCTCAGCCTTCCCCCCTCCCTGTATTACTCACTGCAGACCAGTGAGAGCAGAGTTCACTTCGTGGTCCTGAGGCCTCGAGACAGCCTGATCATGGAGATGGAGACAGACTCGGGCAGCTCGAGGCCCAGCAGAAGTGGGGGCAGGAGCAGTGAAAGCGATGGCAGCAGTGGCACCAGCAATCACATCAGCCTCAGCCATGGGAACAGTCCTCCCCCAATTTCAGTCCCTCAGTGGAAACCTGAACTGGGGCACTACCCACGGCCCCTGGCTTTCTACAAGGTAAGTCCCGGCCTGTACTTCTATCACCCTTGAAACAGCCCAGGATAGAACATCAAACAGCCTGGGGGGTTTAATCTTGGCTCTACAAGGTCATTCTCTGGTCTGGGCCTCAGTTTTCTCCTCTGTAAAATGGTAGAGTTGGACTCCAGTTCTCCTCTAGTTCTATATCCCATGATCCCATAATCCTCCAATACTGCCAGTCAGCTGGAGGGTGGGGGTGGGGAAACTGGCCACACTCAGAAGGTCCCCTGGGTCCTGGGATGGAGAGCTTTACCTAGAGACCCAGTTTATCCTTCAAGCCTATTACATTGTAAGCCTGAGTCAGCCAGGAGGAAGTGGTCCTCCAAGTTTCCTCTCTTTTTTTGAGGATCCTCCTGCTGGCTTCCTGAGCCAGGAGAAGACTCTCACCATAAGGAAAGACGTGAAAGAGTCCCTGGGCATCACGATTGGGGGCGGCCGGGAAGGCAAACACAGTGTGCCCATCTATGTGACCAGCGTGCAGCCTGTGGGCTGTCTTTGCCGGGATAGTCGCATTCAGAGAGGTAATGGGGAGAAAGGAGGGGGGAGGGGCAGGGGAGGGCACACAATGCTGCCCTTCAATTCCAAGGCCCATTGCTTTGGCCCTCAGGCCAACCAGCCTTTTCCCCTCTCTCTGGTAGCTCATCCTATCTGAGGCTCTGCTAGAAAGGCAGAGAAGGCCAGAGCTTTTCAATCAAGAGCATGAATCCTAGGTCCAGCATTCCCTAGCTATGTGACCTTGAGTGAGTGAATTGCCCTGTCTGATCTCAGCTTCCTACATCTGTCAAGTGACGAGGCTCCACCCAAGAAACTAAAGTTGGCTGTTGGCAAATTCCACCATTTCTGCTAGCTCGGCCTTCTGGGGACAAATAGAGCCCTTCAACCACTGGAGAAGAGCATGGGCATGCCACCCATGCCTCATCCCTCCCCCTCAGTCTGGGACCTTCTCTTCTTCAGCTGAAATATTCCCAGTTCCTTCAAGTTTATGTGTGGGGGCAGAGAGTGGTACTGGAAGAAGCTAAGACCTATACATATACAAATGTGGGGTGGGGTGGGGTGGGATAGGGACAAAGAAGAAGCCAGCAACCCAAAGATTCAGTGGCTATTGGGACACTTACCAATCACCTCAGTAGTTATCCCTTCCACATCACAGGGGTTAGGGGCACAGTGCCCCTGCAATCTGGAAAATCCACATCGAATGTTTTGGCCCTCCCTTCATACTAGAAAAGAAGTCTGAATTATTGTGGTATTAAAAAATAAAATATATTGATATTATACAATACCATACATATATTTTTGGCATTTCTCAGTTTCTAAACTTTTTCTATGTCGTCTGCTGGCCTTTGCGTGTTGTCTGGGGCTTCTGTAAAACTCCCCCCAAATTCCCTTTTAATTTATGCCGACCCATAATGTAGCAAAAATGCAATGGGGAAAAGTGGTGACGTGGAAGGGATAATTGTACTCTGGACAGCTCTCTAAGACCCCAAGTTCTCAGCATCTGGGCTATAGTTGTCAAGAGCATGGATTGGAAATCAGGGGAGGTTCTGGGTTAGCTCTGTACCTTACTCTATTATATGTCAGAACAGCCACTCCACTTTCTGGGGCTTCTATAAAATGAGTTTGGACTAAAGGATATTGAAGCTATGTTCACTTCTAAGCCCTACAGACTAAAATTTTCTACGTACAGGGGCACACTTGACTTTCCAATGGGCCTAGTGCCCCAGTCACCTCCATCCACAGTGGCTTCCCCTGCTCTAGTCTTCCTCACCTCCACTCATTTACCCTACCCACTCCTCCACTCTACAGGTAACATTCTCCTAAGCATCAATGGCATAGACTTGACATTGCTCTCCTACCAAGAGGCAGTGGCAGTCCTCAAGTCCCAGGCAGCCTCGACCACCATCGTCCTGAAAGCCCTGGACATCCTGATGCCACCTGGGAGCCTGGAGCCTTGGGCAGGTGGCCAAGAACCACCTGTGGAGTATGGTCCTAGCTGGTCGCCCCTCTGGCTGTCGTGGCTGGGACTCCCCAGGTGAGAATGGGGTGAAACCTCTGCCATTCTGGCTTTGCTTTCCCTTGATCAGCACCTTGCCCCCAGGGGGCCAGTCTCTGGGCTGGGAGTCCCACTCGTCTTTGAATACTTCAGTCATTCATCCAAGTAAGCGGGGAAGGATGGAGGGATGTTCCCTCTAGGGCTTCAGTAGACTGAGCCACGAGGTTGAGCTCCAAATCTCTACTCCCCTCCTATATGCGTGGCATGGTGCCGTACATCTCTGGACCTTGGTTTCACCATTGCTATCACAAGACAGTCATCCTCGAGCTTCCCAGGGGTGCTGTAGCAATGAAACCATACATGTTCTTTTCCCTATTCTTCTCCCTCCTCATGAATCCAGAAAGGAAGGCCTAAGATTTCAGAACTGGAAGAGGCCTAAGAGAACCCCGATTAAAACTCTCCCATTTTATAGATAGGAAGACTGAGGCCCAGAGCAAAGGCTTAAAATAGTTTTTAAATTATATTAAAATTGTTTCATTTAACAAAAACCTATTTTCTCTTCCTTCCACATCCCCCCCAGAAAACAAGAAAACCTTTATAACAGATACGCATAGTTAAGCAAAACAAATTTCCACATTGGCCATGACCAAAAATTCTGCTCCCTAAGTCTGTCACCTCTCAGTCAGGAGACAGGTAGCAGATTTCATCCTGAGTCCTCTGGAATCATGTTTGGTCCTTGTGTTCATCTTAATTCCTAAGTCTTTCAAAGGTTTTGTCTTTATAATACTGTTGTTATTGTAAAATCTCCTTGGTTCTGTTCACTTCACTCTGCATCAGTTCATACAAATCTTCCCAGGTTTCTCCAAAACTCTCCCTTGTCATTTCTTACAGCACAAGAGTGGTCCATCACCTTCAGCCATTCCCCCATTGATGGGCACCCCCTCAGTTTCCAATTCTTTACCTGTTACTACAAAAAGAGCTGCAATGAATATTTTTGTACATAGGGATTCCTTTTTGTTTTCTTTCTGCCTAGTGGCATTATCACTGGGTCAAAGGGTAGGTACAAGTTTAGTAACTTTGGAGGTACAGTAAAGGACTTCTGGATCATCAAATGTTGGATCTAGAAGAAACCTGACAGACCAGCCCATCCAGCCTTCTCATTTTACAAAGGGGGAAACTGAGGCCCAGAAAGATGAATTGACTTCAGTAGGGTCACATGGGGACTTAGCCTAGAGCTGCCCCCAGTGATTATTCCTGTGTGGAACATGTGTTGAGGAGGCCAGTGGCTTCTGGCCAAGAGTGATGGGCCCCAATGCTCTGGGGCCATAAGGCTGACTTTCCCTACAATAACCCTTCGGGGTTAATCATAGTATTGTTCATCTCATTTTATGATGAGAAAATCGAGGGTGACAAAGGTAAAGAATGTGACCAGCATAACACACCTAGTCAGTGTCAGAGCCAGAACAGGAACTTCTGGTCTTACTCCAAACCAATATACTGAGTAGCTTGGCCCCATGCTTTCCTCCTACCCATAGCCAGGGCATGCCCCCAGTTTCCCCAGCCATAAAATAGGCTAAGAAACCCTACTTTCTTCTGGAGCGACTTGATGTTTGGGAAATGCACCACTCCTGTCTGAAGCATTTTCCTTCCCAGAAATCCCTGTCAGCACCATTCCAAGTGGAAGGAATTCCTTACCCACCCCTCTCCCCAATCTGTCAGCAGCCCCAGGAGCTCAGTGGCAATGGTTCAGAGGGTGTGGAAGTTATACTTCTCCCAGACAGTGCCATGGCTAAGTTCCTTGGTGCTAGGCCTAACACTAAGGTACAGGCCATACATGAGCTTACCTACTGGAAGATAAGAGAGGAGTCTGAGGCACCTTAGAGAAAACAGCCAGGTCAGTCCCCTCATTTTACAAAGGAGGAAACTAAGGCGCAAGAACTTGGGCCGCGTCCTGGTTTTCTAACTAACTTGATGTGTGACCTTGGGCAGTAATAGTAATAATAATAATAATAACAGTAATAATAATAGAGTCAATACAGCCTAGTAGAGAAGATAACAAGCCTGAGAGCCAGGAAGCCCTGGGTTCGAGCCTCACCTCTGACCCATATGGACTGTGTGACCCTGGACAGCTCACTTCAACCTCTCCAAGGCCATAACTTTCAGAGCAGATGCCAATCTGCATGGTAGAGGGGACTTCCTCACTGGTATTGTCTCCCCACTGTAATCCCAAAGCCAGACAAAAACAATAATAACGATAACTGACTTTATATAGCACTTTAAGGTTTGAAACTCCTATTAGGTAGGTACTAGGGACATTATTATCCCCATTTTGCAGATAAGACAACTAAGGCTCAGGGAGGCTTGTGATTTGCCTAGGGCCACACAGCTAGTGTGTGTGTGCGTGTGTGTGTGTGTGTGTGTGTGTGTGTGTGTGTGTGAGAGAGAGAGAGAGAGAGAGAGAGAGAGAGAGAGAGAGAGAGACAACAGACAAACAGACAGAGAAACAGAGAGAGAAGGAGAGAGAGGAGAGGAAAGAGAGAGAGGGAGAGAGAAGGAGAGGGAAAGGGAGAAGGGGAGGTGAGATGTGAACCCAAGTCTTCCTGACTCCACATGGAAACCTTCTCCTATGCCACACTGCTTCACTAGCCTCAAGGGACCACATTTACTCAACTGTCAAACAGTGTGGTAGGACAAGACAGTCTCTAATGACACTTCCAGGCCTAAAGACCTTCATTTGAAGCTCTTTGCACTCCAGGCCTTTGGTGAATGCTCCTCAGCAGCTGGACAGCACCTAAGCCTGTGCTGCTAGCCAGGGCCAGGGGACCTCAGCGAATAAGGACTAATGATGCCATGTCTAGCTTGTGCTCTCTCCCTCTTCAGTGCCCTCCATTTGTGCCAAGATGTCGTGTTGCATAAGAACACTGATGAGAGCTGGGGCTTCAGCATCGTAGGGGGCTTCGAGGTATCCAAAGGCAACCAGCCCTTCTTTATCAAGACCATCGTGCCTGGCACTCCAGCCTTCCGGGATCGAAGACTGAAGTAAGTATGTGGGACCCCTCCTCAGGAACTCTTAACAACTTCTCTGTCTCCCCTCCTCTCCATTCATGCTATTGCCACGGGAGGGCAGGGTCTCATCACCTGTGGCCTAGTCTATTCCAAGGGCTTCCTCATTGGTTGCCCTATCTCAGGTCTGACCCTGTTACTCCCCTACTCAAGAATTTCCAGTGGCTCCCTCTTGCCTGTACGATCAAATACAAAACTTCTCCATTTGGTATGTAAAGCCCTTCACAGCAGGGTTCAAACTACTTTTCTTTTTTTCTTTTGTACTTGAAAAAAAAATGTATTTTTATTCTGAACTGAAACACCAAAAAAGAGCATTCTCATACATGTAGCAGAACACAAAAAGAGGATTCTCTATGAAACTGTGAATCTGTCTTTCATACCACTTGCTTTAAAAAAAATAGATAATAAATTCCACATTACTTTTAATATTGCTTGTCTCTATGTCCTCCCTCTGAACTTCCCTCTGTTCTCTTCTCCCTTTGGGGTGAGGGTCACTATTGCTACCACACACACACACACACACGCACACACACACACACACACACACACACACACACACGATTTAAAAAAAATGAAGAGGAAAAATAACTTGTATTAAGGATAACTAAATGAAAGCAGTTGGTGGCCCTGCCCCCAAATGGCTGCCCCTTGCTCTACCCTGATTCCACCGACTCTCTGACAAGAGGTGGCCAGGAGGCTTCTTCATGAGACCTCTGGACACGTCATTGACCATCTTACTGCTCAGAGTTCTTAAGCCTTTAAAGTTCTTTTCCTTTAAGGTGCTGTTGTCCTTGTATGGATTGTTCTTCCTGTTCTGCATCAGTTCCTATCACCCAAGATTCTCTGAAATTGTCTCTTTCATCATTTCACATTGCACAATCACATGCTGTTCCATTCACATTCCACAACTATTCCCCAGTTGATGGGCATCACCTTCTAGTTTAGCTCTTTGCTTTTTTCTTTTTTTTCCCTTTTAGTCCCCTCTTTGGCTGCTGAAGTTGGTTTTCCTTGTGACTTTTCCTTCCCCAGTATCATCCTCCCTCTTGGCCATTTCCATATCCCTATTCGTTTCCCTGAACTAAATTTGATGTATTTCCACACCAAACTGTGTTTGTTCAACCTTCTTTTGTCCATTTCAGATGAGAGCGAGGTTCATCTGAAACCACTCTCCAACCCCTTCTTCCATGTTCGTATAATCTTCTTCTCAATCAACTGAATTATGAGAAACTGGTTCCATTCCCTTCTTTTTTTCTGTACTGGTGTATTCCTTTCTCATTCCTCTGGTCAGACTCTCAGAACAGGATTAATCTATACCATTAAGGCTTCTTTTTTTTTTTCTTATTTAAGAAAGGTTCTGAAGGGATTCTTGTTTCTTTTCCCTCATTAGAATGTTAGCACTGCATCATCATACTGCTCCCTTCTGATTGCTCAAATAGGTTTACTTTTCTAGGTTTTACTTTTGACTCTTATGTTTGCATTTCAAAAGTTCCTACTCAGTTCTTGTCTTTTCATCAGAAATGCTTGGAGGTCCTTTATTTCATTGAAATTCATTTTTCCCCCTGTAGGACTATATTCAGCTTTGCATGGAAAGTTATTCTTGGATATATAAACTTAATAGTCTTAAGAGAGTTGCCCAGAGGGGGTATTAGAATCCAGGCACTCTAACTTTTTCCATTATGTTTGCTGTGCTGACTGAGGCACCCAAAAGAAACCTTAAAATACACTCAGACCAAAATATCAAGCATAACTTTAGCTTTCCTCTCCCTGCCTCTCCTGAGTTCCTTTGGTCTTCTTTGTTAGCAGTCCTTGCTTGACTCTTTGGCTGTCATATACCCTGGGAGAGCAAAATATTAGTCCTGCCTCCCCTCCCTTCCTGAGTTCCTCCTTGAGTCTGTCCTGGCTAGAGACTCTGAGGGTCTTCCCCTCTCAGACTGATTCTTTTTTGAAGCCAAACTAGGCCATCTTTTGCCTCAGTTCTTACCTGGCCTTTAATCACTGAATGGGTGTTACCTCAGGCAAACTGAGACCTAGGAAAGACCTTAGTTTAAAAAGGCCAAGGTCTCCCACTGCATCCAGGGTCATCACTAGTTGTCCTGACCTATGTCTTGCCACTAGATTCTGATGATTCTGGAGGGGAGATTGAGGCTGCTGACTTTGCACATCTCTGCCTCACTTAATCCAATTCACTTGCAATTCAAACCATCAGAACAAAAAACAAACAACAAAAACAACAATCCTTCTTGGGTTTTTGAAGGATAGGGCTAGCTTTGCAGTCAAGAGCAAAAGCAGTGTGATATCATGGGAATAGTCCTGGTCCCGGGACTCAGAAAGCCTGGATTCAAGTTCTGACTCTGACATATCATTCCTGAGTGTCTCTAAAATGTGGACACTAATACCTGTACTTCCTACATCACAGGACCACTGGAAGGAAAATGCTTTACAAAGTTTCAAATGCTATAGACATGTGAATTACTGGTACCATGTTACTCTGCAAGCATATTTGGGACAATGAGCAGTCCAGAATCTGGCTTGCTGGAGGAGCAGTAGGAGCTGGAGAAGGGTGCCCAGGGAGGCTGTGAGAGCTATCTTCACATATGTGAAACTTGTCATGTGAAAGAGTCAACTGATTGTGTGGATCCCAAGGATATACCAATGTATGTAGTTGTAAGGGTAGAGAAGATAGAGTTAGGGTTTGATGTACAGAATAACTTCCTAGCAAGTGGTAGAGTTGGAAAATGGGAAAGTCTGAATTTTAAGATAGGGACTTCCTCAGTTGTTATAGTTCTTCCACCAAAGACCGAACAACTACCTTTCAGAAATTATGGAAGGGACACCTGCATGCACAGCTGGTTATTACTAGATGGACTCCACCAATCTGAGCCTCAGTTTCCTAATGTGTAAAATGAGGAGGTCAGACTTAATATCCTCTGAAGTCCCTTCAAGCCCAAGATTTAGAATCCTATGTGTGTGGCCTTGGGTAGGTCACTTCCCCTCAGTGGGTCTCAGTTTCCTCCTCTGAAAAATGAAGCTTGTCCTCAATGGCCCATCATGCTCTGGAATCTTTTTGAGCTCTTTAGATTATCAAAAGGTTGGATTTTTGTTGTTTGGCTTTTTTCCTTGCCTATCTTGTGGGCGTCCCTAGAACCACCCCAAAGGTAACAGCCCTTTCAGGCTTGGAGGGGTCTTAGAGATCCTCTAACCTAATTATTTCACTCTGTAGATGGGAGAGAGTTGGGGCAGCTAGGTGGCCCATTGGATAGAGCACTGACACTGAAGTCAGGAGAACCTGAGTACAAATCTGACCTCAGCCCAAACACTTGACGCTTACTAGCTGTGTGACCCTGGGCAAGTCACTTAACCCCGATTGCCTAAAAAGAAAAAAGAAAAAAAAAAGAAAGAGGTGGGAGAGAGTCAACTGCATTCATTCATTAAGCAAGTGCTCATGTGGTTCCCTTTGTACCTTGGCCAGTGCTAAGCGCTAGGGATACAAAGATAGGACCATTCCCCAGTCCCTGCTCTCAAAGCACTGTTTATCTACTAGGGGGAGTCAACATGTACCCAAGTCAGTATGAAACAAGATGTGCAGGGATTGGGGCTGGGAAAGAGAGATTCTGACAAAGAGCTTTAAGAAAATTGAAGGCAGGAAAGAAGATTTTGCTTAGCCTGGGAAATCAAGGAAGTCTTCATGGAGGAGGAGGCAGCTGAACTGAGCCTTAAAGGATGTAGATTCAAGGCATGAACGTGTGTCAGCCATGAGAAGGGAGAAGGGAGGTGACATGTATAAATGCATGGGGGCATGGTGAGCTTGAGATCAGCTAGTCCAATTTGTCTTGAATGTCGAGGGCATAAAGGGACAGGTATGAGCTATGTCTCAGATGGTCGCACCCAGATTAGAGAGCCTTCAGTTCTAGACTGAGGCATTTTGAGTTGATCCTAGAGGCATTAGGGGAGCTACAGAAAGTGTTTGAGCAGGGAACAGGCATGGTCAGAGGTATGTGTCAAGGAGACTTTTGGCAACTTTGGGGAAGATGGGGTTAGTGAGGGAAGAAACTAAAGGTGGGAAAACCAGTTATGTTCTAAAAACTATGAACATTCACAGTATCTCCAATTACACTTCCACTAACTGGGATTACTGACTGTTCACTCTACCAAAACCCACCACTTCAGCAGGGGCTCTTAACCTTTCTTGTCTCATGGCCTCTTTGGCGGGCTGGGGAGGCCCCTTCTCAGAATCATCCATAATCTAAAGACACGCTCAATTTCCATTAATGATTATTGAAAACCAACATTTTCCCATTGCAGTTCATGGACTCCTGAAGTCTTTCCCTGGTCCCCTTGGGGATCTGTGGACCCCATCTTAAGAGCCCTTGCCCTAGAGCAAAGTGCCACCAATAACTCTCATGTCTATAAGAACGCAAAGTTTATAAAGCATTTTCCTCCCAATGGTGCTGGGAGGTAGGAAGTTCAGATATTAGCATCCAGAGGCAGCTGGTGGCACAGTGGTCTTGGAGGCAGGAAGTCCTGAGTTCAAATCCAGCCTCAGATACTCACTAGCCTTGTGACCCTGAGCAAATCACTTAACCACTGTCTGCCTCAGTTTCCTCATCTGTAAAAGTGAGGATCATAATGGCATCACCTTCACAGGGTTGTTGTGAGGTTCAAATGAGATCTGTTAAAAGTACTTAGCACGGTGCTTGGCACATAGCAGGTGCTATAAAAATGTTTATTCCCTTCGCTTCCTTTTCCCATGTTATAGATGAGATGCAGGTTCCAACAGAGCCAAAACTTGAACTCAGGTTTCCTAAATCCCAGGTCCCAAGCTCCTTCCATGACACCACAATGCTTCTCTCAGGCAGCTGGTCCCCTCCCTCCTCTCCTCTTCTCTTTTCTCCCCCACCTCTCTCCTCCCTTCTGGGATGGCTATTCCTTTCACCACCCCTCCTCCCCTACCAAGGGTCAAGAAGACTGGCAGCTAAGAGGAAGATTCTGCAGGATTCATTCAGCCCCCTCATTTTTACACACAAGGAAACTAAGGCAAAGTGCCATATCCAGGAAGCAAATCCTGCCTCAGCCACTTATTAGCTGAGTGACCCTGGACAAGGGAGCTAAGAATTGCCTTGAGTTCAAACCCCGGTATCACACTGTCACAAGACAGGATCATAGGCTTATCAGTTTAAAGCTGGAAGAGGCCTTTGCCATCACTAGTTCAACCCTATCATTTTACAGATGAAGAAACTGAGGCCCAGAGAGAGACCATAACTTACCTAGGGTCCCATAGCTAGTAAGTCTCCACGCCAGGATTCAGTCTCAGCTTCTCTGATGCTAAATCCAACATTCACTACACCTGGATTGTCCAGAAGGCAAACTGAGGTCCAACTACACTGGCACCTTCAACCAGTGACCTGGGGGAGGGGGGAATCAGAATTATTGTAGGATTGAATTGAATAGGTGAGGAAGTAATTTGAAAGAGAAGGTGCAATGTTATAGGATCCCAGGAGGTCAGAATGGGAATCAAGATCCTTAGAAATTATCTGGGGCATAGTAAAAAGGTAGCCTCTCTCACTCTCTCCTATCAACCTCGGAAAACCCAGAAAATATCACCCCAGAAAAAAAAAAACCCTGGAACAGCTGAACTAGAAGAAAGAAGGGGAGCAGCAATGCAGCAGCCCAGGTAGATTGAGGGATTAAAGGAAAAAGCCCCTCCTACCCTGGGGGAAGGGGAGCAGTACAGAACGGGAGGTATCCCAGGCAGCTAGTGGAAAGCCTCACTTTAGCACACCAGGAGGAGATCCTGGTGCCTCAACATTCTACAGCAAATGGGTCTCCCAGTGTCTCAGCAAAAATGAGGGAAGCAGCACTACGAAGGGCCCCAGGAGGATAAGCACCCTGCAGCATTCATCTGAAAGGAGCTGAAGAAAGCAACCTAGAGTCTTCTTTAAAGTCCCAGCCTTGCTGATTCCAACCCAACACCAAGTAAGCTGTCAGAACCCTTCAGCCTCCAACTGTCAACCAGGAGGAGATCCTGAAGCCCAGGTGGTAGAGCAGGCAAACACCAACACCTGGACCTCCTAGTGCCTCAGTGAGGGCAGGGGGAACCGGTGGAAACCAGCACAGAAAACCACCAGGTGCCTCAGCACTCTACTGTAAAGGAATCTCCCAGTGCATTAGCAGAAATGAGGGAGACAACACTGCAGGGGGCCCCAGGCAGATAAACACCCTGCAGCACCCATCTAAAAGGAGCTGAAGAAAGCTAAAGGAAAGGAAAAGCAGGCAACCTAGAATTGTCTGCAAGTTCCAGCCTTGCTGATTCTAGCCCAACCCGAGGTAAGCTGCCAAAACCCTACAGCCTCCAATTGCCAACATAAGAGGCCCCAGCACACAAAGCCAGTGACCAAGACCTAGGCTCCCAACACAAGAAGCTTGGGTCAGTGCCCTCTGTTCCCCAGCAGGAGAGCTCAATCTCTTTAAAGGCCAGGGAATAAAGAAACCATGAGTAAAAAGAAACGTACCATAGATTCATATTATGAGAAGAGTGAAGATCAAGACAGAAATTCTGAAGAGGACAACGTTGTCAACAAACCACATCTGCAACCTCAAAAGGGAATATGAACTGGTCTGAAGCCCAAAAAGCCTTCTTAGAAGAGCTCAAGAAGGATTTTAAAAGTCAATGAGAGAGGTAGAAGAGTCCTTAAAAATACAATTGGCCAATTGGAAAAAAAGTACACTGAAGAAAACAAGTCCCTAAAAACACAATTGGCAAACTGGAAAAAAAGTACACTGAAGAAAACAAATCCTTAAAAATACAATTGGCCAATTGGAGAAGGAAGTACAAAAACTAACAGAAGAAAACAATCTGTTAAAAACTAGAATTGGACAAACAGAAACTTATGACTGTGAAAAAGCAAGAATCAGTCAAACAGAAACAAAAAAATGAAAAAAAGATGAAAACATAAAATACCTCATCGTAAAACAACCCTGGAAAATCGATCAGGAGAGACAATTTAAAAATCATTGGACTACCTGAAAATCATGATGAAAAAAAGAGCCTGGACAGTATCTTTCAGGAAATCATAAAAGAAAACTGCCTGGAAGTCCTAGAACCAGAAGGGAAAATAACCATAGAAAGAATCCACCGATCACCACCTGAAAGAGATCCCAAATTGACAATGCAAAATTCCAAAATTACCAGATGAAAGAGAAGGTGCTGCAAGCAGCCAGAAAGAAACAATTTAAATATCATGGAACCGCAGTCAGGATTACACAGGACCTTGCAGCTTCTACATTAAAAGACCGCAGGGTGGAACATGATATTCCATAAGGCAAAGGAGCTTGGATGCAGCCAAGGATCAACTACCCTGCAAAAATGAGCATGATTTTTCAAGGGAGGAGATGGATATTCAACAAATAGGGACTTCCAAACCTTCCTGATAAAAAGACCAGAGCTCAACAAAAAATTTGATCTTCAAGTACAGATTCAAGAAAGACATAAAAAGGTAAATGGGACAGAAAGATACAAAATGTTGTTAATAAGGGCGGACTGTTTACATCCCTATAAGGGAAGATGACACTTGCAACTCTTGAGAACTGTATTGTTATTACAACATGTTAAAGGAATATACACAAAGAGGGTGGATATTAGTTGACTTTGATGTAATGAAAAAAAAAAACTAATCAAGTGAATTAAATGGATCCAAGTAAGTGGATTAGTCTGATCTTAGAAAGTGTACTGAGAAAGGAGGAAGCAGACAAGGGTAAATTACCTTATAGGAAAAGACAGAAAATCCTATTACAGCAGAGGGAAAGAAGGGAGGGGTGAGCATTGTTTGAACCTTACTTTCATCAGATTTGGCTCAAGAAGGGAATAGCATAATCAGTTAGAATAGAAATCTAACTTGCCCTATAGGCAGTAGGAAGGAAAAGGGGAAAGAAAAGGGAGGGGGGATAGAAGGGAGGGAAGAAGCAGTAAGGGCAAAGGGCTTGAAGAAAAGGGAAAAGGGTAATAGAAGGGAGGAGAGACTGAAGGAGGTGGTGGTCAAAAGCAAAACAGTAGAGGGGGGAAAGGAGAAAGAAAAGCATAAACAGGGGGAAAAAAGGATGGAGAAAAAGACACAGATAATAATCATAACTGTGAATGTGAATTTTTTTTCTCTTCTGTTGAGTTTTGTTTCCTCTTTCTGATGGTTCCTCCTATTGGTTTTAATTTTTACTTACAACTTCACTAATGTGAAAATATGTTTAATAGGAATGTAAATGTATAGCCTATATCAGATTGTGCGCCATCTTGGGGAGGGTGGGGCGGAGGAAGGGGGAGAAAAATTTTAAATTCAAAAGTATATGGAGGTGATTGTTGATAAATCAAAATAAATTAATAAAAAAAATTAAAAAAAAAGAAATTATCTGTTCAACCTCCTTGCTTTACAGTTGGAGAAACTGAGGCCCAGGGATGGGAAGGGAAGGGACTCACCCAAACTCACACTTCAAAGTGGGTTAAATTTTTATGGTTTGAGGTTAGACTGTGTGGATCCACACCCTTTCCAGTTCTGATCGTCTAGGATTCCGTGGTCAGAATACCTGTATGTAAATGATATGTAAATTGCTCTACCCAACAATCGTTGCCCTGGAAGCAGCTAGTTTATACCTCAGGCCTTTCTCAGTGGCATTCATTATCCTTAGAGCGGCTGGCAGTGGTGAGTGACTCGATCATCCTGCATGTGTGTCTCTCTCCCCCCACAGGTGTGGTGACGAGATCGTGGCTGTCAATGGGACACCAGCCGCTGGCATGAGCAATGCCCAGCTGATCCCCATGCTAAAGGAACTACGGAACCGAGTAGCCCTGACTGTGGTGTCCTGGCCAGGCAGCCTGGTTTAGAGGCTCCATCCAAGTCCTTTCAAGCTCCAGCACTCAGGACCAGCTGAGAAACGTGGACACCAGAGACTCCCCTCTTCCCTCGGGTAGTATCCCCACTCAATCACGTGGACCCCACCGTTTGTAATATCCCAAGAACTTTAAATAGGAGAGTGCCAGCACCAGTGCCCCCGCCCTACCCCATCAGGGCCCCAAGCCCAGAGAGAGAGGACCAGTCAAAGTCCTTCCCACCACTTTTTCAGAAGACCAAGCCTCCATCAGTCACCTTGAGCCAATTTCTTTCCATTCTCAGAGACTTTCTGGTACTTATTTGCTCTTTTCCACCTCCCATTCCTGAGCACGTCCCCCAGGTCAGCACTTGCTGTACCCTCAGGGGAACCACGTGCACCTCAGCTGACCAAGTTTGGGAAGAGGGCTCATTCCCTCAGTGCAAGACTGGGCCAGCTTGTCCTCTCACTGGGACTTCAGTTGAGGCTGGGAGAAAAGCTCTTTTTGACCAAGTTGAAGGGAAGGCTACCCACAAGAGTGTCAGGGTGCAGACCGAAACCCCTCCTTCCCTCCCTCCCACTCTCCCAATCCTCTTCCTTCCCTCCGTCCCTTCTTTTCATCCTTTCCCACCTTCGTACCCTCCTGCTATTCCCTTATCCTTCCCTGAACCCTATCCACCCTCCTTTCCTGCTCCGGTGACTCCTTCCCTCCCTTCCCTGATCCCACCTTCCCTCATCCCCATACTTCCTCACTCACTTCTTTCTTCCCGCAGGGCTTCTACCACCCCCCGCCTGGTTCCCACCCCTCCTTCCTCTTTCCAGCCTCCCTTCCCTCCCTCTGTTATTCCCTCCCGGTCTCATTCTCTCCCTTTTCTCCTTCATCCCTCCTTGCCTGTAGCCTACTCTCCTTCCTTCCCTCCCTCCCTCCCTGCTGTTCCCCAGTACCCCCACTCCTGTATTGTCTTATTCCCTTACCCCGTCATCCCTAGCCAGTGCTCTCCTCACCTCTCGCCCCCACCTTTTGAGGACCCAGAATAAAAGCTACTCTACTCTCCCTGGGCCTGCGTGGCTGCCCCTCCTGCAGGCCTTTAAACCCCCAGAGCCCTGGGTCACACACTGTCTTCTGCACAGGAGTTTCTCCCCACTCTCCAGGCAGCTCCTGGGGCTGGACTCTAGCACCAAGTTGCAGTTTTGAGCCCTGAAGGGGCCAGTGTGGAACGAATATCCTCAACTTGGTGCAGACTTGGTGAGGGGCACCCTCCATCAGCTTCTGGAGCTATAATCCAGATCTAGCCCAGATCTGTAACCTTGAGTCCTGGTCAAAGCCCTGAGCACTGGGGCCTACACAGGGCTGGTTAAATAGCTACCCACAATCTTGTGTGTGTCTTGGTGTGTACAGGGGTAACATCCTCTAGAAATTGGACACTGGTGTACACCAAGTTGCCACCGTTTAACCCGCCAAGGTACCGAGCTGACCCCTTCAAGGTGCCAAGATCCAGCCTTCTTGGGAGATCAGCTGGGTGAAGACCATCTGCTATCCTGAAATCACCCGGGGGTGGGCTGGGGCAAGGCAACCAACCTAAGAGCCCAGGGGTACAAGACATCAGTAAAGAGTAATTATTTAGGACCACTCCCACTCTTTTCTGAGTTGGACATTAGGAAGAAACTACCAGATCAAGACAACCGGAGGTCAGAGGTGGCCAGTGCCCTTGGCCCAGTGACAGCAGAGAGGGGATCTGAGAGAGCAGTGAGGACTAAGGGCCCAGTTTAACTAATACATCAAAGCTTCCGCTGCATGTGCTGTGACTCCCACAAAAAACACATGCTCTTTAGAAGAACTTGGCCAGCTGAGGCCTGGCCTCCCCGGCCTCCCTGGCCCCCAAGGAGCACACTAGTGAGTGGAAGGGCCAGGTCCCCAAGGAGGAGAAGGAGAGCAGCCTTCTGCCTCGCCACCTCTGGTCAGTCTTGCAGCACGGAAATGTTAGCCTGGTGCCATACCAAGAAGCCGCAGAAGAAGCCGCAGACCAAGTCGCCTAGGAGGTTCCAGCCTCAGGCTTCGGGCCTGGCTGGGCCTTCCCCTAGGCCAAGAGAAGATGGACCAAAAAAGCAGAAGCCCCCCTCCTCTATAGTCCAGGGCCTGCCAACCAGCCCTGAGGCCCCAGATCATCAGTCTGATTTGCTTGCATTTGCATTTGCTTCCCAGACCTCCCAATGAGACACTAGGGCTATGTCTTAGCTGCTCTAATAAATGGTTATAAAATGAGGAGCCAAGGCCCAAGTGGTTTTTGCACGCCATCTACTGGAAAGACTGAGTCAGCTCATGTGGGATGGGAATTTTCCTTCTCCAGGACCTAGTAGGAATTGGGTACAACATCATAGACCCTAGAAGCTGTTAGAGAACTTAAGAGATCTTGAGCCAAACCAACAGTACCCCTCAACTTTACAGAGGGGGAAACCAAGGCCCGGGAAGGGGAAATGACTTGCCCAAGGTCATACGTAGGACCCTGGATGTGGATGGAGCCAGAAGGGACCTTGGAGGCCATCTGGTCTGATGCCCTCATTTAACACAGGAAACTGAGGCACAGGGTAGTTAAACCCAGGATCATAGCAGAGGAAGGATTTGAAGCCATTGCTCTTTTGCTGTACAATGCTTCCATCTCTAGGGTCCCTTCCAGCTATGGCTTTCTGAAGCTCAGTGGGTTCTAGGAGTGGCTGGCCATTTTAGGCCATAGCAAGAGTAAACTAAGCTACAGATGTTGGACTGTGAAGGCGTGGTGCTTTGGGCTCCCCTCCAGTGTCCTCTAAATGACCTATTGATTGGAGAAGAAGGGCAGCTTTGGAACCGTAGCCAGGGTAGAGGTGGCTTAATCTCCTTTCTCTCTCCTTAGTATCTCTATCTAGGGGATCAGCCCAGACCAGGTCAGGATCTCCTTAGCATCACAAATTTAGAGTGTAAAGAGATCTCATCCACCTAGAAGCGCCTAGGTGGATAGAACAGTAGGCCTGGAATCAGGAAGACCTGAGTTCAAATCCAGCTTTAGACTTACTAGCTGTGTGACCCTGGGCAAGTCACTTAACCCTATTTGCCTCAGTTTCCTCAACTATAAAATAGGGATCAAAATAGCTTCTACCTTGCAGGGTTATTGCGAGGCCAAATGAGATAATAATTGGAAAGCACTTAGCACAGTGCCTGGCACATAGTAGGTGCTTTATAAATGCTAGTCATTATTATTGTTGTTATTGTTGTTATTATTATTATTGTTATTATTATTAGAGACAGTGACTAGAGCATTGGGCCTGAAAAACCTGATTTGAAATCCAGCCTCAGGCATTTGTTATCTGTGTGACCCCAAGTGAGTCACTTAACCTCTGTCTGCCTCAGTTTCCTCTTCTGTAAAATAGAAATAATAACAGCATCTACCTCCCAGGGTGGTTGTTAGAATCAAATGACATAATAATTGTAAGGTGCTTAGCATAGCAGGTGCTATATAAATATTTACTGTTATTGTTACATTATCATTATCATTATTTTTATGCTCCAGGGGGACAATGGATGGAGCACTGGAGCCGGGAGTCAGGAAGACCTGAGTTCAAATCTAACCTCAGACACTGACTGACTGTGTGACCCTGGACAAGTCACTTAACCTTATCTGCCTCAGTTTCCTCACCAATAAAATGGGGATGATAACAACACCTGCCTCCCAGGGCAGTAGTGAGGATCAAATGAGAATTTGTGAAGCCCTTGGCACATAATTTCATGAGCTTTAGAATTGAGGCAATCTTCCCAATTTCTCTAGCCCCCGAAGACTTCCCAAGCCCCTCCCTTCCTCAGGCCACCACTAGAAGGCTGGCAGCACAGGTGGTGACCCCATTTTGCAGCTTTGGAAACTGAGGCCCGGAGGGGGCAAGTGGCTTGCTCGGGATTTCCCCAGACCAAACGACCTGAGTTTCCTTCCAATTCTAAAGTCCCCCGATCCTGCAATGATCAGCCCCTTTCTACTCCAGAAACATTTCCAGTGGCGAAAGTGGCCGATCTTAAGCCTGGTCTGAAATTAGGAGTATGGTCTGGTGCCAAAGCATTCAACATATGGTCCCCAGCACTCCGGAGTGTACCTGAACTACATCCAAATGTCATTGGGCAAAATTTAACAAAACAAATAAAAATACGAGATATAGATGATGTTAATATGTGGTTTTATAAGTCAATATGTGGCTCCTTCCTTGTGTGCAGTTTCTATTTAAGTTTGACACCACTGGCTTGGTGGGTAGCCTTGGACTCCAAAGCTGGCTGTTGTTGCTTCCCACAGGGCCCAGAGGTCACCTGGACCTCCGAGCTCATCTAACTCAATGCAGTCATTCTGTACAGCAGGACACTGACCTGTGAGCTTCCCTGGGTCTAGGCCCCCAAGCTTAGCACCGGGCCCAGAATATAGCAAGTATTTGATAAATGCTTCTTGGCTGCCCTCTTAAAGGCCTTTCTCAAGCTCTGCAAACTTTTCTCCAGTACTGCTCACTCCTTGACAGGGGTCATGGAGCTCAGGGAGCCATCTGGACTGTTTTGCTACTGGGAGCAGCCAGGTCCCAGCAGGGGTGGCAGGAGGCCTAGCTGGGGGCTGCTCTCCTCATACACTCTGGTTGCTGTTTCTAACTGTGCCTGATTGGGGACAAAATCCTCAGTGGCACCAACCAGTTTTCATTCCATTTAGGTGGGAAGGATGGAGTGGGGTAGGGGTAGGGGACTCAGCCCACCTGAGCAACCCATGCAAGCCTTGGGCTGGCTACAGAGGCATCTAATCTGATTGCAGCCAGGTTCGAGTGTCCACTCTGGAAAGCTCCAGAGACAATCAGGCATCAGTGTGTGTTCTGTAACTACAGCTGGAAAGTGGCCCACAGTGCTAGGGCCTAGATGGAGCTCAACTGGGAAGGAGGGAGGGAGGGAGGGAGGGAGGGAGGGAGAGAGAGAGAGAGAGAGAGAGAGAGAGAGAGAGAGAGAGAGAGAGAGAGAGAGAGAGAGAGAGAGAGAGAGAGAGAGGAGAGACAGATAGACAAAGGGAGACAGAGACAGACAAAAAGAAAGGAGGATGGGAGAGAGAGGCAGACAGAATAAGAAAAATAGAACTGACAGAGAGATAGCAAGGAAGAGAGAAAACTGAGATAGAGAGATGAAGAAGAGGGAAAGACAGGGAGAGAAAGAAAGAGACAAAAAAAGAGAGGGAGAGAGGCAAAGATGGAGAGGAAGAAAGACAGAGATAAACAGAGAAGAAGAGAAAGAAGGGGGAGAGACAACAAAGAGAGACAGAGACAAAGATGGAGACAGACAGACAAAAAGAAATAAAGAGACAGAGAGAGGGGGGATACAAAGAGATGGAGAGAAAGGGCAAGAAAGAGAGACAGAAGGGCAGCTAGGTGGTGCAGTGGATAGAGTGC